ATATATATAGTTTCATGCATTTTTTTTTCTATTATTACAGTGTTCAACAATATATGACGTCTTATGATGAGCAAAATAATTTATGATTGTAATACCCCCTTTTTTTTTCTTTCTTTCTTTTCTTTTTTTTTAAATTTCTATTTTAAATTTATTGTATTACTTTTCTTTGTCGCCTGGACAGGATTTTCCTCTTGACGACGAATATATATTCTTTGTATTTATGTGTTTTTGTTCTCAATAAAGTTATATTTGTTTGTTTAAAAAAAAAAAAAAACATCGCCTATCAGAATAACATGTAGTAAGCAGCTGCAAACTTGTTAACCGGAACTAGAGTAGGTCCCGAGCTCGAGATTGTTATTGTTTACATTTCTATTGAAAACACCATCCATTATTATTTCTATGTTATTTTTTTTTTTGTCAAACTGTTCTACCACCGTAAAGTGCTCGACTTCGTGCAGGTCGTCGGGCTACCGAAGTAAGGGTGCATCAAAATTGTGATGGCATGTCTTCGGATCATCCTCAGGGATGTTCCCATTGTACAGCCCTAGTGCGACGTAAATGAACTACAACAATCTATGTTTTTTTCAGGAATCGAAATCTGCACTAGTTTTGATATGTTACTTCAACTAAAGTCGAGTGCACTGGGTTCAGTTCTTACGGCCAGTTTCAGCGTTAGCAAAGCTAACTAAAGATATATAAATTTTCATATTGATGCACTAAGGATCAATTAATGAATTGATTGCGGTAAAAATCAAAACAAACTTAAACGCATGTTGTTTTGTGTTGTTTAACTAAGTATTAAGGCTATAAGTAATTTTAACACCATGGTTCGAAAAAAAATTGATAATCGAGTACGAATATTGATTGAAAATTGTGTTGCTACCCATCATCGATCTTTATTCGTAGTCGTTGGAGAAAAAGCTCGAGATTCTGTAAGTTTTTTACTTATGTTTCAGAATGCCTAAAAATAACTAAATTTTTAAATTATAATTGTATTTATCAAAAGAGTTTCAATATGAGTGTTTTAACATGCTGTATTATATCTATATTTTTAGGTTAATTATGTTGTAGCTGTTATTAAAAATGAAATAAAGAAAGAAAATATGCTTAATGATTTTTCTTTTTGAAATTTTGTGTTAGTTATTTGCTTGATTTATTCTTAAATTATTATTCTACGATTTTTTTATTAACTTTCTTTTTCTTCTTTCAGGAAATCATAATACTTTTTATCTTTGACTATATAACTAATGTTAATATTTTTCTTTTATATTTAAAATTATTTCTCATTAGCAATATATTCATTTTAGGTTGTAATTTTACATGAAATGCTTTCTAAAGCTGAAGTTAAAGCAAGGCCTACTGTTTTGTGGTGCTATAAGAGTGATCTTGGATTTTCAACGTAAGTTATATTTTTCACTATTTTCTGCAATTTTTTATGTTAAATCAGTACAGCCACTTTAATTGCAAGGAATATTTCTGTATCATGATCTGTCGCTCTAACTACAATCGCCAAGGTGCCAAATAGATTTTAAACTTGCAAATTTTAAAAAAAAAACTTTTACATGTTTGCCCGGAGGTAGCTATGAGTTATACCTTTCAAGTTGGGTCCCTTTATGCAATGTTTTTAATTAATTTCTCGTGGATCGCTGCCTTGAAGTTGCCAAGACTAGACGATTATTCTGCCACAAATCGTGATACGGAAATCTCTTATAATTACATCGAGGTAAATCAAAAATTTCAAAATGGTTGATCAAGATGAAAATAATAAAAATTTGTTAAAAAATATGAAATATAAAAGAGCTGTTTTATATAAGTGTTAAAGGAACCGTTGAACATGTAATAAAAGAACATAAGTTTAAAACGTTATAAAAGATTTATTAGACATGTAACAAATCTAAACCGTTTCTTGATTTTACATGAAATAACACAGATTTGCATGCCTTGTTTAAAGCATAACAATAGTGACATTTCATTTTTTCTTTAATTTTAGTAATGCCAATATTGCTTTTTAAACTTTAAAATAATTAAAGTCATAGTATGAAAAAAAATAATAAACAATAATTTTATTGGAAATTAATAAATCTGATTAGGAAAATTTTTCTAGTGCTGTAATGATAGGCTATTAGTGAATTTCTTGGTTTTATCTTTAGTGATAACCCAAAGACATGCTAGTGAATGCCCACCTAATATCGTACCACATTTTAGACTAGGGCGCAGATAATGGCAGTATTCAGACGTTTCCTATATCATGTTCCTCCATCTTAGAGTTTCTGAATAACGATAATGCTGGAAACATTATATTAGAGTAAAATCTGATCTTATACTTATCTATCTTATTATCTGATCTTATACTTATTTTCGAACTTGTATGTGCCAAGACCCAATGTGCAGCTTGTAGCGCTTGCTAAGTAAAAAAATTCTCCAGTGGTTTGCTCAAAGATAGTTTTAAATTTGTAAGTCTGTAGCCTTCTTTTTATTATAATTTTTTTTTTGCGTAAATTTTGGGTGGATCTATATCTAAAACTTGGAATTCATTTTGGTACGGTATTATGAAAATATTCCCTTAGAACCACTATGACACAATCATAGATAGTGCAATTCGATCTAGTGCTCAAACTTTACCATGAGGAACTGTTTCTTGGCCTAAGCCCCTGTAGATGAAGTCTCCACCATTTCTATTGAATTTTGACTATGCAAAGGTCAATAATTATTTAATGTTTATTATTAAAGATATGTCTAAATATTATCAACAATATTAAATCAATTTTTATAAAGCATTATTTTATTATAGGTTTTATTTTTACTATTTATTTGTGAAAAATATTCTAATTAATAAAAAGTTTATGTTGGCATGTACACACTTTTTAAATAAAATTTCTTCCAGGAATAAGAAAAAAAGACGAAGATTGAAAAGTGCACTCTCTGGCCAAGGAAAACAAGTCCTCGATGAAAATGACTCAATTGAATATTTCATAGCTTCAACTAATATAAGATATTGCTATTATAGGTAAATTTAACTTGATTTCTTATTCATCCAGTAGCAGATTAAGACTTTTTATGGTTTTAAGCAGTACACATTGGTAGGGTCCCACTTTTAATTGACTGATGAATTAATTTACATTCATAAGATTCTCTCGACTTATGGCAGAATTTCCAACTTTCTAAACTTTGAAAATAAGAAATAATTAAGAAAAATGCTATATTAAATGTCTTTTTATTTTAAAAAATACTTCTACATTATTTTATTCTTTTACTATATTTTTATTTCATTCTCTTTAATCATTATTACTGTGTGAAGCTTAACAGTGTGTGGGAACGTCAATGTACACATGTAGTAAGAAAAAAATTAATAAGTATGTAAATAATTTAAATGTTTTCTTTTTCTAAAAAATAATTTCACACACTAGTTTTATTTATTTTTTCCATTATTTGAGTTAATATGTATTTTCAGACTTTTTTTTTCCTTTACCTACTCTCATGCCTGTAATTTCATGAATTCTCACATGTTTTAAAATTTTTTACATTTGCATTTCAGAACTTTCCAAGGACAAGATTTAATCAAAGAATATTTCAATAACTTCCTCTTAATGATTCTGTTATTTAGTAGGAATAATAAATTTTCAACCAATATTATATCAATGCTCAGTATTATTATTTATATTTAAAGTTATGTCAAGACTCACGGCAGTGTAATTAAGCTTTGGCTTAAAATAGTTGGCTGTCCTCATTTGTGATTATCATTAAAGCAAATATTGACACCCAGTTTTTATATTAAAATTTATCTAAAAGCTTAATCAAGTAGCTAATTTATTAGTTGTACTTGTCAAGAATTCAATATCATCCTAATACTTTACGTAATTTTTATTATTTAATAAGACATAATTTTTGAAAATCATATTTCAGAAAAAATACAATTTGTTTTTCGTTTAACTAGAATGAACTTATTTTAATCGAAAGAAGCCAAGTGAAATATCTGTGTTTTCTCTAAACTTTTCAGCATTGTCACAGTTTGAATGTGTGTTAAAGGTCTAGCATGTTTAATGAGTAAGATCATTTAAATTCAAAAATGAATAATATATAAAGCTTTAATGGACTTTTTATTGCAATCATTTTATAATGATGTCAGAGAGTGGAATATAAATCCCGAAAATTATCTAACAGAAATTAAATTATTAATAAAAAGATTCAGATGATTAATTAAAGATTTGGATAAATAATGAAAGATTCTATTAAATCAGCTTGAGTTTTAATATAATGTTGGTGCAATACTTTTTTTAAAAAAAATCTATATTTAAATTAGCCTATCAGATGAAATTTGAGAAAATTTTTTGTTTAGATTAATTTATAATACTATAGTGAACACTTATATATTATTTCAGAAGTTGCATTAGATAGTACATAGTTTTTGTTGATTTGCTTAAGTTATTTTGTTTTATCTATTAATATTAAATTAAATCTATAAGGACTTTTTATTATTTTGCTTATTATTACAGTAGAACCCTGATAAAGACCATGATATATATATATATATATGTATATATACAGTCAGTACCGCCTATATGGTCACCCTCTTATAAGGTCACCCCGCTTATATGGTCAATTTTCTAAAGTCCCGTCTAACTTAATAGGAAACACGTGTTAAAGCTCACCGCTTATATGGTCATTGTAGGGGAAGTCCTGGTTTATTTGTATTTCTACCAATTCACATAAATAATGAAAGACTAGAAATTATCTAACTCTAAATATTTATTGAAAAGGACAAAACACATAAAAATAAAACAAGGATAAAAAAATACAAGAATTTGGAAGAGGGGGTTTTGGGCTCGAATTAAATGTCCGTGCTTAACGGCGGTTCCTGGCAGACTGTCTTAGTTCACCGCCATAGGCGCTGAAGTGGGGGAAAGAGGAAAGCTTGTCACACTCCCCCTCTGGTTCCGATTAAACGTCTCGTTGAGGGACCAGCACTTTTCGGTTTTTTGCTTCTTCTGAGGGTCATCAAGGTTTTTTGGGTCAGGATCAAGAGTCTTTAGTCTGCCTCGTTTACGTAAACCAAAAGGCATTCTTTTGAATCGGAAAGTGCCAGAAGAACAGATGAATGCTGTTTTATCTCTGTCAGCTGGGTTAACTTCTGCCTGATGATAGCTAGCTGTTAAGTCAATGGTTGACATATATTTACATGTCTTTGCATCATGCCATAAATCATCCATTCTGGGTATTGGGTATGTATCGAGTAAAGTTTTCTAATTTAGTTTTCGATAGTCCACGCAGAGTCTATAACCGTTCGGTTTCGGAACTAAAACCACGGGTGTGGCGTAAGGCGACTCGCACTCTTCAATTATATCCTTCTCTAGCAAATCACCGATTTGTCTCTTCAACTCTTCCTTCTTAGAAAGTGGTAATCTGTACGGGGGAACAGATACAGGAGGATGATCACCAGTATTGATGTAATGTTTTGCATATGGAGTAGCATCTCCCCCTGGTTCGAAGATGCTTTCATACTGTTTCAACAGGGTGTTGAGTTTGCTTCTTTCTTCACTTGACAGTTGTTGACCTTCTTCCTCTCTCAGATGACAAGTATTGGATTCAGCACATAGCGTATTCTTGATATCACACAAATTGGCTTCCTCAGCAAAATTAAATTTTCGTCGAGGAAAATCGTTAAAGAACCATCTGCGACTTTTTAGATCAAGGACGATACCAGCATCTTGAAGGAAATCTGTACCAAGAAGAGTACGATTTTCTTTAGCATGGGGTAATGCAATTAAGTTTGTTTTTAAGACTCTTCCTTCAAGTCCTATATCTACCAAAGTAGTGAAGGCTTCCACTTGTCGTTTTTCTCCGTCAGCAAGTGTCATAGTGAGTTGGGTCTCTTGAAAGTCTGCACCTTCTTGTTTGAGAATTTGATCCAACTGTTCTCCAGCAATACAATGGCTTGCTCCACTGTCAGCACATGCAGTACCCAAGAGTCCATTTACTGTTATACTCAATATAGCTAGTTGTGATGATTCGTCTACACATGACTGGAAGAGGATGTTTCCAACACTGGGAGAAGAGTTTGTGCTAGATGGATTGCATTTAGGACAGCGAGATTTGATAATGCCAGGTTCACCACATCCATAGAACCTTCTACCAGTTCTGCTCTCTTCAAATCTGTCGTTGTTTACTTTATGAAGTTGATCATCATATATAAAATCATTTCTTCACGGAATTCTTTCATAATTAGAAAAGTCCTGCTTGTTATGACTTTTAACTCCAGTATCTCGCCTATTTTCTTGTCTGAAAGAATGCATGTTATATTTCTGGTCATATTGTACCCTGGGACTACGCGAATACTTGTTTTGGTTATAAAGTCTTTGTGATTCTGTTTGTTTCAAATTAAGCTTCTTTTCTGTATTTTTTTTTCTGCAAATCTTTTTTGCTCATACGAAGATTTTCATACACATCCATTTTCTCAATTAAATCATCAGGCGTTTTCCATTCACACCAGACATCTAAGAAGTGCTCTTTAGCTTCTGGAGGAATTCTTTTCTTCATTTGATCGACGATCATCAAGTTTTTCAATTCATCAAGAGTTTTAATGTCTAATTCCATTAACCAATTTTCGAAAAAAGTTTGGAGTTCGAAATGAAAATCTTTCCAAGTTTTCTCAGGTGTTTTTCTGTGAGTGGCATACAACTGTCGAAGCTTTTCTGCACTTAGCTTAAATCTTTTCAGAAGCATTTCTTTGATATAGTCAAAATCTTGGGCTTTATCTTCTGCTTCTCTTGCGATGAATTGAGCAATATCGTTTGGCAGGACACCAAGTAAATAAGCTACCCAATTCTCTTTGTCTACTTTTAAAAATTTCAATTGGCATTGAAATAAGTTGAGATATAAAACCATATCGTCCTCTTTGGGATTGAATTCAGGTAGTAATTTCTTAAATTGTAGGTTGACAGGACAACTACTAGTTAAACCAGATGATGGTTGTATGAATTTTTGCGCTTCAATTTGCAAACGTATTTTTTCCATCCAAAATTCTGTTCTTGTTCCTTTTCTTTCAATATTCGATTTTGTTCTTCTTCTTTTTCTTTATTTAATTTTTCGCTTCTTCGTTGAGGCAAAATTCTTCATCGAATGCTTCATTTTTTGTGATTAGTTTCTTAATTCGAATGACTTTAGCATCGGGGGGAACCTTGAGACCCATTTCTTCAGCTAATACACATAAATCGATCTTTTTTCCTTTTCCTAAAAATGTCATTGTAGCAGATTG